TGTATATATAATAATAATAGAATATAATATAGTATTTTTAACTTTGATGTTTGAATGACTTATATCAATTGTAATTCCCAAGGCATTCAACACCTCCTATTAAGGGGTGTCATTAGCACTCGCCAAACAAAAAAACCATATAATTCAACTATAATTTTCTTATTTTTAGCCTGTATTCTCTTTTTGCTAACGACTTGTTAGTTTTTTTATGATATTTCGTCTTTGTTTGTTGATAAAAAAAAAATCAACTATAATTTATATACAATTGAATGTTGCAAACACATAAGATCACTGATGACTATTTAAAATTTTGTTTTTCCATTTTTCTAATTGAGAATTTTTTACGAGTAACACTAATCTTCAGTGATTTTAGTCTTTATCAACGGATTAACTAGTTCTCAGAAATAACATGAGAAGATACGAGTTCACGGCAAGTCCACCATGATTCGTTGCAAATCACGGAGGTGGTAGTATTTGGTACGCAGACTAGATGGGACAGGACGAGACGGTACGGGACATGACAGAATGGGATGGGACAAGACTAATTGTCTGTCATATGTTTGGTACGACTAAGACAGGACAAGACAAAACTATTAAAATGATCATATTACCCCTAAACGTTGTTCAATGTTATTTTATATCATATAATGATTGTAAAATGAAAACAAATCAACCAAAATATTGTCATTTTAACTTCAGTCTCATGTTGTTCCACCTTTTTTGGTGGAACAAGAAATATCAAGATTTGTCCCATTAAAATTAAAAATAGTCTCACATTGTCTCATGTTTTTTTTTGTCCATGGCATGCCAAACATGAGACTATTTTTTTTTTGTCTCGTTCTGTCCCATGTAATCTGCATGCCAAACATGTTCATAACATTTTTTATGAACTCAGTATAGTACTTATATATTTTTTTATTAACCTGGATATCCAACTCGCTATGCGATCCGACTAATCTCAGGGCGACCACCTGTTTTGCAGATAGCCCGGAGTCACCGCATTTGAACCTCCGTTGCCACAAGAAGATTTTTATTCCTCCTTGAATTTGAACCTGAGACCTTTTGTTACTTTTGACCTTTGGAATCAAGCTCAAACCAATCAGACACCACCCTTGTGGTTAATACGTATCTATTTAAAATAGCCAAAATAATTAACCTGTGTATATGAAAACACAATTATAGTTGTAGATTTGTTGGTTGAAAACTTCCAAAACATTTCTTTCGTAGGAGAGAAAAACGTTACCATCGAAAATAACATATGAACAACTAACTATCTCCAAAGGGATAGAATAAAAGCCTCCTTTATACCCAACACACTGAAACACATATTTATAATGATTTCGATTTCGATAATTCAATCAAATTTTATTGGTTTTATTATTTTAATATGTTTTTAATGCATATTTCTAGTTATAATATTTGTATTCCTAAGTCCTAACTAATAAAAATATGTATTCATCATACAAGGGGTTATATAGATGTACATGCATATATAATATAATATTGTTTTCGACCCTTGTATTCTTCTGGTCTAGTACAAGGGTATGTTACTGATATGCGTTGGTACGTACATTACTTATATATGTTGGAAGTTTAAACCTCCTCTTTCTTCTCAAGGACTCTTTTGAAGAGTGATGTTTTGGGTTCTCTCATGGCGTTAGAGTTAAGGTATACCACTATAGGGATTCGACACTGTGGCTAGTCCTCTCTCGACATATTGGGACAATTTATGTCTACCTAGCCTTCATTGGAGGAGCATATTGAAGTTCTACATCGGCTAGACTTTGATCATTTCTCCTGTGTGTATGTTAGAACCTCCCATTTCTTCTCAAGGACTCTTTTGGAAAGTAATATGAGGGTTCCACATATTTTCTTTTATGGTATCAGAGTCAAGATCTGCCAC